TTATGTATATATATATATATATATATATATATATATATATATATATATATATATATATATATATATATATATATATATATATATATGCACAATACACAACAATAACCTTCCAAGTACCAACAATCAAGATAACGACATTATCTTTTATTACAGAAATCACATGTCAACTGCATACAAAGTAGATGAAGCTATTCTTAAACATATCATCAATAAAAATGTCACACCAACCAACCCAAATAGTAAAGTTAAACTCTGAATTTATTACAACAATAAAAAGAAGTCTCGCCTAATACTGAAAAACAACTGTAGTTCTAGAGATAACTCTGTGTTAAGGCGTAATCACGTAATATATGAATTTAATTGCCCCTTTGACGGCTGTGCACGTCAACATGACTCATATATCGGGATTACTACTACCTCACTGACTAGAAGGCTTACGATGCATAAACAGAGTGGTGCTATCAAATCTCATTTAGACTCAACACACTCAATCACTATTAGCCGTGAAATCCTCGACAGCATCACCAAAGCAATATGCCAGAACAGCAACTACAAGCATCTCAAAATTGCAGAAGCAGTCCTAATTGACATCAATAAACCAAAAATAAATATACAACAAAAAATGACAACCTCACTTCCAACCCGGCGCTTAACCAACAATGAAAAGAAAGAAGTAATAAAAACTAGCATTGTAAATAGTGACAAAGAAGAATATTATGCTATCGATGAAGAAAAGAAGACCAAAGAGGATGACCAGCCAATAAAGACACCTGACACCTTATTTCCATCTATGTTCATTTTGACAAAGTCAATTTCCATCTAAGTTCATTTTGACAAAGTCAATATTTCCCTATATAAACATCAAAAAGCACTGATGATGATTCATTCGGGATCGAAATATGGCCTTATTTGCTGCATGAATTTTAATAAACTAAACGTTCACCAAAAACTTTAGTGAGAAAAATTGAAAAAACGAACTACAAACATATTAACGCCAAACATTCAGTAGAATTTATAGAATATTGTAAAAATATATATACACACATATATACATACATATATATATGACCCTGGTGACCCGGCTCACTGGGTTAGACTCCACTGTTTTGTCCCATACATCTTACAGAAGACAAACCACCCAGAGGGGGTCACCGGGTCAACCAGGGCAATATGGTCAACAAGCGTCTAACCGAATATTCAACTATTGGTCTTGAAACCCTGGTACTGTGCTTTGATAGGTTCAATAATGCCAAATCACAAAAGCACAACCCCGATCGGTGATCTTGTATTGAACAGGGAAACTTGTCCTCGGCTGTCAGACTTGTCTGTTCGCTGGAGGGCCTGGCGGAGAGCTCGCCAGCCACTTTCGATAAATTATGTTCCATCCACCCAAAAATTCTGGTGGACAGGCGGGTCTTTCCTGCATTGACACCAACGCCTGGTTGCGTTTCTCCCGCCGAGGTGCTGAGGGCCGTTAAATCGTTCAAAAACGGTTCTTCTGGAGGCCTGGATGGCCTACGACCCCAGCACCTTAAGGATGTTTTTTCAGGCCCCTTGCCAATCGACGACACATTGAACTCCTTAACCCAATTCATTAATTTGATCCTATCTGGAGCTTGCCCACTCTCCGTCCGCCGGTTCTTTTTTGGAGGCCGGCTAATAGCTTTAAATAAGAAAGATGGAGGGGTCAGACCGATTGCGGTCGGGAACGTTTGGAGGAGGTTGGCCGGCAAATGTGCCTTGGCCCTGGTCGTGGTCGAACTCAAGACCAAATTCTACCCGACTCAGTTGGGTGTCGGGATTAAGGGTGGCGCTGAGGCCGCTGTTCATGCGGTTCGAAGATTGGTCACCGACCTCCCCGATCAATGGGGGTTTCTGAAACTGGACTTTAAAAATGCCTTCAATGCCTTGAGAAGAGACTCGATGTTGGAGGCTGTCAAACTTTTTTGCCCCAATATCTATAATTTTTGCCATTCTGCCTATGGCGGAGTCTCTTCCCTTGGCTACCACTCTTGGGTTGTAAAATCGTCCGAGGGGGTACAGCAGGGTGATCCCCTTGGTCTTTTGCTGTTCGCACTAACTCTTCATCCACTCTTAGAGAAAGCTTCGTCCACTTTCGTTTGCGCTTATCTGGACGATATCAGCATTGCTTCGGACGGCCCAACTCTGGCCGATAGCTACGAATATTTGAAGCATAACTCCGCTGCAATTGGTTTAGAGTTAAACATTAAAAAATGCGAACTTCACTGCCAAAGTTTATTTCAGGTGCCACATGCGCTGGCTGGAATACCCAGAGTTGGTGCATCAGAACTGAGTTTTTTAGGTTGAGGGCGATTATCAAATAAAGTTTTTTGACCAAAAGCTCTCTGAGCTTAAATTCGCCCTGGGTCATGTTTCCTGTCTTTCGGCCCATGATGCCTTGACTATTATCCGCAATGCTCTCAGTTTGCCCAAATTGATGTACTTCCTGCGTACATCCAAACACATGACCCTTCTAAATTGGGCAAATTTGACGGAGCCCTGCGCACCGCCCTGTCGTCGATTTGCAATGTTCAAGTGACCGACAGTGGTTGGTCCCAGGCTCAGCTGCCGGTGCGATTTGGTGGGCTGGGGTTGCTTAGCGTGGTTTAGCTGGCTCCTGTTGTTTATAATTCTTCTGCCGCTGCCACTCTCGATCTGCAGTTTTCCCTGCTCCACCAGTTTTTTCGTTGCCGCGATATTCTTCCCCCAGTGTCCGCCCCGGGGGACTGTACGCACGTCCAAATTTTGAACGAAGAATATAAAAAAATCTTTCAAAATTTGTTGTCTTCATGCGGCGACGACTTTTCCACCGCTCGTTTGTTGGCCATGTCCAGCGTTGCCAGCTGTGGGTGGTTGAGATTGTGGCCCAACACTTCTGTGGGCACCAGGCTTGACGACGAGTCTGTGAGATTTGCCATTGGCTTCAGACTTGGCCTGGTCATTCAGAATAAATACACGTGCCGATGTGGCGCTGGGGCGGACGAGTTTGGGCACCACGGTTTGGTTTGTCGCCTGGGTGGGGGCCATCAACTACGTCACTCAGCGCTAAACGAATACATTTGTCGGCTCTTCTCCAAGGCTTCAATCCCGGTTCTCAAAGAACCATCCGGCATTTCTGCGCATGATGGTAGGCGCCCGGACGGATGCACACTAATACCTTGGAGAGCCGGCAGATGTTTGGCGTGGGATGTTACGGTCCCTGGCACCCTCGCCGAACAATATGTAAACCTGACAAGTAAAGAATGCGGTTTGGCCGCGGCCAGGGCCGCAGACGAGAAAATAAAAAATATGGCTAAGCGCCGGGTTGGAAGTGAGGTTGTCATTTTTTGTTGTATATTTATTTTTGGTTTATTGATGTCGATTAGGACAACAACGAAAACAAAGAAGTAATAAAAACTAGCATCGTAAATAGTGACAAAGAAGAATAGGATGCTATCGATGAAGAAAAGGAGACCAAAGAAGATGACCAGCCAATTAAGAAACCTAAAACCTAATTCGCATCAAAGTTCAATTTTACAACACCAAAGTTAATTTTTACAACGTCAAAGTTAATCTTGACAAAGTCAATATTTCCCTATATATACAACAAGGAGCACTGACGATGATTCATTCTGAATCGAAATATGGCCTTATTTGCAGCATGAATTCGAAAAAATAAGTTTATTTTGAATTTTAATAAACTAAACGTTCACCAAAAAACTTTAGTGAGAAAAACCGAAAAAACGAACTACAAACATATTAACGCCAAACATTCTGTAGAATTTATAGAATATTGTAAAAATTATGGTCTATTACCAACATCTATATATATATATATATATATATATATATATATATATATATGCCCAATACATATACTAGCTGTTATCCTACCACTTTGCTGAACTTAGTATAATTATTCGCGAAATTAGTATTTTGTTGATTTATTAATTGTTATCTGTCCATATTGACTTATTTACTGTTATTCACCAATTTTGTTCTAATTCAGTATAAAATATTTTTCAATAAAAATAAAATTATATTCATTGCTTATTTTAACTTCTCTATAGGTTATATATTTTGTTTGTTTCTCCGATTTGAAGAGTAATAAGATCTGAAGATGAAAAGAAAAGCTGCCAATTTGCAAATCCACATCCGGTAATATCTATCTATGCCGTCAGGTATTATTTATTTATAATCATCGCAAAGAAGATTCAAATCGAAGTAATATTTTGGTAAAATCAAGGACATTCTGAGAATAAAGTCGTCATCATAATAATGTTTTTATCAACACGGATATTTCGGTAACACATTACAATTGAAAAGTCATTTGCTTTCAAGTAATTTTAGAAACGAACACAAAACACAGTTGTTATGTTTAAAAAATAGATCTTTGACATGAAGCCATAAATTTAAAGATTTTTAACGGACTTTGATTTTATCTGCACGTATCTATTTTGGTATTGGATCTTATGCGGTCCATCGTACACAACTTGTTGCAGATGTGTTTTTAACGAAAATTAACTTCACATTTCTTAACCATTGAATGAAAAAAATTTCATGCACGTTTCCTTTCCAATCGATCAGTTCATCACAGACCTGTTGTATAAAAACCACACAGTTTAGACATTTGTGATTATTTTTACGCCTTTCTTACGTATATATATATATATATATATATATATATATATATATATATATATATATATATATATATATATATATATATATATATATATATATATAGATATATATATATATATATATATATATAT